CACTGCAACAGAGGAGGTTTTAAAACAGAATGGGAGCACCAGTCTTTGAAATGTGAGAATTTTGAGGTAGCTTTTGTGCAACCATTACATCACATGACCACAGAGCATGCAGGTATGAATCTGGAGGAAGGGGACTTCCTCTGATGCCAATTATCCTAAAAGTTTTTGCAGAGATGAGATGGTTTATCTGATCCCCCTGCTGGTTTGGTCTTTGTCCTCTCTACTGATGCTGCCAAGAAGGGATGTCAAAGATCTTCTGTTGTAAGTACTCGACTTGTTTGTAGGAATCTGATTAAAGTAGATCACCTCAGATAACAAGAGGAATTAATGCTGCAAATACATAGGAGAGGATTTTCAATCTCATAAGCTACATGGAGGTCAGTACAAGTCACACAGCAGCCTCTGAGATCTCTGATTTTCGCAGAACTGATGATCTTTACTTGTCCTTTTCCTCTCTCCCATTAGCCTTTACACTTAAGCATTTACCTTTATTAATTCAGTTCTACTTGTAATCTGTTATGTTGCTCTGTCCAGTATGAGGAAAGTACTGGACAGAGGTAACCCTGGGTGAGAGAAAACCAAAAGGGAACAGGAAGGAGTTTTTTGGGCTTTGCAATGGACATGGCACATTCTCCTTAATAACTATATAGGTTTAGATTCCTCATCCTTCAGGTTTTTATGATGTTTTTTAAAATGCATATTCTCGTCTTAGATGTCACCCTGAAGTCTGATGTTCATATATCCTCTCAACTTGGTCAGCCAAAAGTAGTAGACTCCTGGATCCTGCATTTCAACTTTCTCTCTCTCTAGCGTGTAACCATGTTATATATTCACGCTCAATGTCTCAGCTGTGAACAATCGTATGCAGATGTTTGCACTCATGTCAGTTTTTCCCAGTGCCTTGCTTGCTGTGTGCACGCAGATGTCTCTGGTGAAGGACATACTTTAGATTTTAAACGCCCATCAGCCGACTCTGTGCTGCCTTTGTTTGGCGCTTTGGTGATTTTAGCTTGGCTCTGTTGGGTAGGTCCCCAAACCGTGCTTTACAGTTGGTGACGTTATAATTTCTGACATGAGAAGTCACAAACGGTTACTTTACTATCAAAATCTGCCCAATAGCTCTCTGTTCAGTTTTGCCAATGGAGGAGTCCTAATTTTAGGACTTCTATTTAAAACACAAGTACAGTAGGTATGAAGTACACCAGCTTGACCACACCAAGAACTAACGTCGGGAGATGGCTACATGAAGGCTGTGGGATGTGTTATTCTAGGATGTCCTAACTGCCCCAAATGCAAATGGTGCCACTGTGAGTGCGTCTGAATGAGACCCACACGCTCCAGAGGTGGGAGCAGAGGCTGCAGCCCTCCAGAAGGGAACACCGAAGTGCCACCGCTCACAACACAGCACTGACACGGCTTTGACCCTTCCTGGGGAGGCTCTGATCCACTGAAACAAGCGTTACAGAGGCTCTGAGGTTTCAGCAGTGTAAGGCAAATGCAGTTCAGGCTCTCTTCATGTTAATTCCCATTTGTTGGTGCTTGGATAAGCATGTAGTGACAGCTTTCATGAGGCAGGAACCTGTCCATTGGAAAATGGATTATGACCACCAACTCTTGCACATAAACGACTGAGCAATCATCTAATGGTCACTAGTGAGACACCCTAGGTCTGTGCTGGTGACCTAGAGGTGAAATGACTTTCTTTGTCTATTTGAATCCCTGAACCATTCAGACCCCTGATTGGGTTGGGGGGGGGAAGTTCTTATCTAAACAACCATTAATCTTTCTTAAGGTGAAAAGGTCAGAAGAGCAAGTTATTCAATGTTAACTGTTTTTTTATGCAATCAAAAAAGCTTCTTTATTTCTAATGCTATCTTAAAATATACAGCAACACTTAAACATCCAACCTTTCACAGTGTTTTTTTGAAAGTGATGTCAGCTTTTAGATAAATGACAAAGTCCATACACAGTGTCAGCCCCCCACAGCTGTGTCCATAGCCATACCAACAATGCCACACAATGTTTTCCTTAAATCCCATAAAGGCAAGCGACAATGCCACAGAATGAAGCGATAACGTATTAAAGCTGCTGACAATCAGTCTTTAACATGTGTTATCCATTTGACTGCAGGTGTAAATCAGCATTTCAATGTCAAGTTGCTAATTTAAGGCTGTATGGTCAAACATCTAAACAGAGTACCCCAGAAAAAGCACAAGTGCACTGTCAAAGTAGGTCAAAGTCACTGCAGGTCAGGGAACACAGAGAAAAAGTTCCCCATCAATAAACCAGTTTGTCCTATGATATATATATATATATATATATATATATATATTTCATGATACAGGAGTATTAGATTAAATTGAACATTTAATGGGAGCTCAGACTACAGGCTCAGCACAACCAACATTCTGCCACTGCTCAGCTGACTTTGGTTGTGCACATGCTGTCAGCGTACATGACCACAGAACCAAGCTGTGTGGTTCTACACGGTGACATGAATTACCACATGAATTATCCTCAAAGGATACACGTCATGTTTCCTCCGCTTTCACTGAACTGTGCCACCTCATGGATGTACATTAATTTTTCCCCTTTAATTTCATAATAGAGAAATAAGGAAAATATCTGCTGCCATCTGTTGTAATTAGAGTTCTCTGAAAATGGAGTACATGTAATTTTGCCACAGAAACTAGAGACTGAAAGTATTTGTTTTAATCTCCCTCTCCTCCATCTAGGAAAGCAGTTAACTTGAGAACCTGATAAACGTTCAATTGCGCTGTGTCAAATGGTTGTCCCTTTTATTATTTGGCTGTAAACATTTTCTACCGACTCACTCGTGGCAGCTGTTTCTGTACAATGGGGGAAAAAAACCGGAATTGCATTTTAGAGGACTATTTAATGGGAGACTGGGACTGGTAAAATATAAAACTGCATTCAGAAACATTGCATCTAAGGGAACTGTAGTGTTCCTAATGATAGCCCAGGTTTTGGGCTTTTTTTTTGTGTCTCAATTTCACTGAGAAATTCAGAGCAGCAGTAGAAGCTTTTGCTTGTTTTCATGGACCACTACACATAAAAATATGCACTAAACATTTTGTAACAAACTGACCCTGTGTGATTTCTCATATGTACACTGCAACCCAATGCACAGATAGAGTCTGCAAATTCAGTCACTGCCAGTCCCACCACACCACTACTTAAAGAGAAACTTCTTCTGTAGGTGGCCTGGTGGTACATCAAAGATTTAACAAGGTCTCCAGGAAGGATTAGCAGGGGTGGGTTGGTGTGGAAGACCCTCTTCTCACTGCTCAGGGCTGACACTGCAGCAGACAAGCAGTTTGTGTGCTGCTGCATGAGCTACAGCTCCTGGAGAGATCAGGAAAATGGTGGCATCACTTTCTGCATTCACTAGCTGGTGTTTGGATTTAAAATAATTACCTTTTCCTTTAGAAAGCTCATAGGGATGGCCTGAGGGAAAATGGAGACCCTACCTTTAGGCCTCTTGCTGCATTGCATCAGATTGCCCTTGTCCCTTCTGCACAGACAACACTTAATGCAGTGACAGATTTACTAGGTAGGAGCTGTTGAGTCCAAGGCACACTGCACGTGTCCTGGAGCACTGTGATACTTAAGCAGATTTACTCGGGGGTTATGGACAGGGCCTAGACAGAGCTGGGCTGTGTCCCTTAACCATTGCTCTTTCTCATCCATTTCTTCAGGTCTCTCAGGGGATGAAAAGCCAACTCCAAGACAGAGGATGACAAACTTGGCACAGGATGGTGCAACGAGGAACGAGCATACACGATAACCTATCTGTAGTTTCTTCCAAGTTTATTCACATAGGAAGATGGTGAGAGTTTTTGGAGATTTAGGCATGTTGATTACATATTTTTTGCTTCATTGTCTTTTTGCTTTAAATGCTGGTAAAATCAGCACTGGAATGGGAAGAGGCAAGGGAAAAGAGGGGATGGACAAACTACTGTACCAACTGCTCTCATTTTTATAATCCCAAGCAGAAATCCTGGGAGCTCTACCTTGTGAGGGGAGTGGAGTGAGCTTTTCATTTTGTGCACTCCAGGTGAAAATATCATCATGGCTAGGCTTCGCGAACGAAGATTTGGGAAAATATACTGACTAGTAAACTCCTTTCACCAGCACTTTCATATGCACTTGTTCACACTTGCTCCCCAAAGCTAATCTTATTAGTGTAGATGGACTGAGTGAGTAACCAGATGGGCCAGGTTTTGTTTTGCGTCTGCCTGCACAGAACTCAGAGAATACAAGACTAGGGAAAAGAAATAGCAGGTGAATTTCCACAGCAAGAATCATGAACGTGATAACTCCTACTCTAAAAGGAGTCCCTAAAGCCTCTTCAAACCATCCTTTTGTCATGACTGAATAGCTGACATATATGCTCACTTAAAACCTATTCAGAAATCATGGTCTATATGAACTGGACATTTGTTCTTCTTTATATAGAGACTGACAAATCCTTTTATATAGTTACAGCTGTTTAAGGCAGAAAGTAAGTCTTTGACCCCGTGAGGAAGAGGAGTGACTCAATCAAGCCTTACTGCTAGCAAGTATGACGTACAAGGATCAACAGTGTTGTCGTGAAATATCTAATAATATTTACAACTGATTATCTACTGGTTATGTATTGTGTACTGATTATCCAGAAACAGTCTTAAATGTTCACAGAAATACTATGCAGCAGTTCAGAGGCTTTTACTTCTGGAATGCCTCTACCACTGCTCTCAGTTCTCATCCATGATACAATGCTTTTGGGTGCACAGTGTCAAGCTCACCAGGCAAGTGACTTTGCAGGAGGAATCATTATGGTTCATGAAGCCAGTGAAAGTCTCCTCCTCTGAATAATTTGGTTCATAGTTACCTTGTAGGATTGAACTAAACATGACAGAGTTAAACACTGCTCTCAAACACATTCAAACAAGCTTGTGTTTATTTTTGTTATTTGCATTTCAGCATCATCTAAACATAGTAACAGAGTGGCAACAAGAGCCAGAAGAACAAGCTGCCCAGACTTCACACATATGCCAAATCACTGCTGGACACTCAGAATTACAGTGTCACCCAGCTCCCCATACAAATGCCAGACTCATGCACAAAATCGACATGTTCAAAGATACAGATACATTTGACCAACTAGGTTGTTTCAGTAGAGAGTAATTTAGTAATTCAGTACAGAGTAATACATGAAAAGCTCCACATAACTCTTCAGCTGCGAATAAAACTACAACTGCCTGTGAGCCAGGGTGTGACTCCCTGTCATATCACCACTATTTGAAAGACAGCACTGTGGGGTGACATGAGATCCCCCGATTTTTCCTTAGCAAATTTGCACTAGTAACTAACAACTGGTGGTGGGAAAACCACTACTTGTGTAGCTGATATCAGTGAGTGAGACTTCACAACCAGTTTAAGTCAGCTGAAGACTCTGATGCTGTGAAAGGGCTCTGGAAGACAGAAAGGGTCCTTCTTACAGCACCATCTGCTTAAGCTGGGTTAGGTATTACATCAAACCCTTTGTCTCACCTGCAAAATCAGAGGGGGTATGAGGTTTAATTTAAAAACTAGCAAGAGCTCTGGGTTACCTGGTATAGGAAGTTAAGTGTGAGGTTCTGTCAGCTGGAAATGCAGCCTGCCAATAACTGCCATATTGGCATAAATGGCAAATAAAAAGTGTGCTGGAGAAAGACAGGACTGGAAAGACAAAACAGGCCAAAAGTTTATATAGAACCACAGAATGGTTTTGGTTGAAAGGGACCTTAAAGATCATCTAGTTCCAATCCCCCAGCCATGGGCAGGGATACCTTCCACTACACTAAGTTGTTCAGAGTCCCATCCAGCCTGACCTTGAATGACAGGGTTTGACAGAAGGTTTTGACAAAAAGGGGTTTTTTCCAAAACATGGAAGCTTCGCACAATACAACAGTGTGAATCTCTTGCTATATCACCCCTCATGACAGAGGTACTTGTGGGCAATTTCAGCAGAGGAAAAGATTCAGAAGGACATGGAAATCAGATGTGTATCCCAGCACAGGCTGAGGCATACAGGCAGTGCAGTCCTATGGCAACTAAACCTGTTCTGTTGCTAAAAACAACCAGGCTTCAACCATAGCATCCATCCACCCATTTTAACAGCACTAAAACAGATCCAGTGTCAATACTGAGTACACATCTGTTCTCAGATTCTAAGACAGCACTAGCTTGATCAGACAAACATCTAAATGCAAAGGTGAAAGTATAGAGCTTTCTACTTCAACAGGGTGACTGAAAAGTGCTCCCTTCCCAGCACAAAGAAATAAGCACACCAGAGGTTATGGGGTTCTTCTCACATTTGTCTTGTGCTGTGGTAGCTGCATGAATCAGATGCTGAAACAGTTCAACACGAAGCAGAAACTGATTTAAATGAACTGTACACACAACCACATGAACCTTTTTAAAAAAGAAAAATAGTATTAAAATTTTAGTTTCATTTCTCCCTTCCCCACTTCCCTTTCTCAGTTGACAGTCAACCAGCTGGTTAACTGCTCTGAAGGTGCAGGCTCATTCCCACATTTAACCAGTGCTCCCCACGGGGCACTGTGCAGCCATATGCTTCACCACCAATTTTTAATATTGAACCACAGCACACAGCCACTTCCTTAAGCTGGTGGCTGCACTGTGAGGGACAGCACCTGCAAGAGCTCAGCAGAAGCAATTCATTCACAGCAAAGTAAGACACAGCTGAGAGCTTCCTTCCACAGAACACAGCAGGAAAAAGGAGCTCTTGCCTCCAGAGACAGAATGACCATGATGGATACTGTCTTGCTATTACACGGTTCCTGTTGAGCATGTGACCATGTTTTACTCTGATTTTATTCCTCTGATGAACACTTCACATAGATCCTAAAAGGAAAGATAAATATCTGACAATACATGTGAGAATTTTAACTCAAAACAAATTTTCGGGAAGCCTTTTCCAAACAACTATGAAAGTGTGTAGTTTTTTTTTCTTAACCAAACAATGAAAGAAGTACCCCAGTTCAATAGCCTTCTTAGCAAAATCAGATGGTAAAATGATGATAAGCAGAACAGAATACAGTAAGCTGACATTTTCTGCAGGGAACTCCCCCTCCCTAATTAATAATGATCTTACTTATTTTGTAACTAGCGTGACTTTTCAGAACAAAATCATGGATAATTTAAATAGAAGCATAATTTGCAAAATGGTTTGGAATATCCCTTAAAACATTTTCCCACCTTTGACCATCTCTAAAGCACAAGAAAGCCTTCACTACTGCAAGAAATCTGCTCCAACTTTTATGCAAGTCAATACCACTGACTACTGAGCAAAAAAGAAACCACTGTAAAGTCTTCACTTCAAAGCACTGTTTAGTTAAAGATGAATTGCATGACCTTTTTGCAGTGTACAATGGAACAGAGGTCAAAAATACCCAAGTTCTTCCATGCTCTAAACAAATTCAGTGCTGTATCTGTAAGAAATTACCTCTCTGTTAGAATAGAGCACACTTTTCAGAACACAAAGTTTAAGCTAATAAAGCTTCATGGAAGCCTCGAAGAGAGCTGCTAAGTCCTCTTCTGTTTGGGGACGTGGTGATAGCTTAGTCACTCTCTCCTATAAGATTAAAGAAAAACTAAATTACTTAAGGTTGTCAATAAAATTAATCAAACAGTAGCTGAATTATGTGTTTCTGTACTACATCCTTTACAGAGAACAACAAGGCTTTGCAAATAAGTAATCGAGTAATTAAGGTTGATGCTTCGTCAACTGTACAAGACTTTCAAGAACATATTACCTAAAATTGCCTATAATTAAATACAGAGAAGCAAGATTAGAATGTCGTTCAGTTGCAGAGTCAAGTACTGCAAACACGGGCCTTGTCCATCAAGATGTCAGTACGCTGGAGGATATTACCTTGGGAACACAGTCCCTTTTAAAATTCATTTGCCAGCATTGGAACCAGGAGTTCGAGTTTTAGGAACCAAGACTTTCAAAACATAACATCTCCCAAGGCCCAGGAACTGCTGTAAATGGGCAAAGTAAACAGTGCTTGTAACTCAGACTGCAATAAAGGGACACGGCAAGATATGGTATGAAACTTCTTAATAAACAGCCTGACACCTTGTAATCAGAACACAAAGTAGTTGTGGTTGACCTTCATTTGGGTAGTGATTCAACCGAATTTGTAGGTGCTGAAGTACCACTGACAGAAATGAAACCCAGGTATTTGCTTCACTGCTCTGCTGGACAAAATAACCACAAAGGCAGGGGTGGAAATTCAGAAAAGCCCTGTGCTACTGAGGATGAGGAGCTGTATTAGTGTAGGTGTTCGGGTACTGCAGAAACACTCAGCTTAAAGGGCCTAATGCCAACATACTCATACTGGTTATGATTAGCACTTCTGTTTCCAGCAACCAATGATTTTAACATTTATTGAAATACTGGAAAGAATTAGAAATGTCTACAAAGACAGAAGCCAGACTTACTACTACGAATGCAGTATCTTTAGATGAATGTGGTATATTTTGGCAAGAGGAAATTTCTACAGCTACAACCTGTTTCAACATCTCCCTTGTGGAAGATGCTGTCCCCAGCTTTAAATCTCTTTCCCCTTTTTCACATGTGAGAAAGTGGATGTCATTTGCTAAGGTCCTTGCTTCATGCACCAAGTGGGATGCTGGGGAAGGGGCTCCTCCAGCCCCCTGCCTGGGTGGGAGGCTGAGCTGAGCTGCCATCCTGGGTGGAGCACACACCCCTGCCCAGGGTGATGCCGCAGTGCAATGCTGCAGCCGCTCCACTTCCCCCTCAGCCCGCAGGGATGCGATTTGTGGGCAGGCTGGATGTGGTTACACAGCAAGAGTACCACCACACTGCAAACTGAATGTGAAATATTGGTCTAGCATGGTGAGGAAGCCAGCTGTGAGGCATTCACAGTTCATAATCATGGTTAGCATGGCTTGTGATGAGTATGAAAAGTGCAGCTTTGTCTGCATTATTTTACCTACAGGAGAAGCTTTGCTGGTGCATAAGTAGCAATCAAATGGTACCTCTTTCCTCATCCCTGACCAGTGTTGCTAGACACACAGATCCAGCTGAAGAGAAGCTTAAGATTCTTCTATGCAGTTTTGAAACCAAATGGAAAATTCAAATAGTACTACGGCAAAAGTGTGTTGGTTTTTTTCAGACTTATAATATGCAAAATATAACAACTTGGTGCTCAAATATTCATAAATTCATCAGGCTTACAGAAGGACACTGTGGGCCAAAGTCCAGTTTTGCAGCTCTGTGCACTGAAATGGCCAGAGTTATCTGTAAAGCCACACCGGGAGACAGGAGACAATCAGCCTGACAGACTGTAGCATTTCCCAGCTATATTGACAGAAGGCTGCAAATGGAGGCTCCTCCTTTATGCCTCGACACAGAGGCACCAGCACTACTTCTGCACAAGCTTGCTGATATTTGCTGGTGCCCAGACAGCAAGGCCCTGGCTCCCTTAATCTGACTCAGTGCATTCTAGTTTAGTGCCAAAACCGAGTAGCTTAAGGCTCATCACTGGTTCAGCACCATTGTAGCTGTCTCTGGGATGTCTGCAGGGGTGGTTGGGCCAGAGAACAGCTTTTCCACTCCCTCATTTTCTCTCATCCTCTCCACAGGGCCAGCCACCTTAGACATCAAGAGAGCATCTTCTGCTAGAATCACTGCTATCTGCAAATAGGATCAATTTCAATAGACTCACTTAGGAAGGAAAATAAATTCTATTTTAACTTCAAGCACAGGTGTTTGCCCCAACAGAGTTCCCACCTAAATTCTGACAGTCAGATTAGTTTTGTTTTCCTGCAGCCTGCACTTCGCAACATGGAATAAACTTTGCATGCTTTTTAGTGCTATGACAACTGCATCACACTGCTTTGCTGACATGAGTGGGTCAGTGCTATATTCCAAAGCAAACCTACTGCAAGATGAAAACAACAAAAAAAATATACTGTGGCTAATACATTTTCATCATGTAACATCTTATATACAAAAATACAGGTTGAGAAACTATCAAGTCAACTCATTTTACACAGTACAATCATCAATGCCATGAGACCACAGTAAATGAATGAAAAGTCAATTTGAGCTAAGCTAACAAACCCTTCAACATCTTTTGGAGAAGAACCTTTCCCCTCCCCTAGTCATGCAAAACTAGTCTTCAACGAGATGTTTTGCTTATGATGACCTAAACCTAATTGTTTTAAAGAAACATATTTATCTAAACAAACCCCCCAAATGCCCTGTAACGACTTACATACATAAGCTATTTGATGGGTGCTCAGAGACCTTAGTTTTCTGCCTGGCTTTGCCACCACTCTGTTGTGTGTGATCCTACATAGTTGCACCTTTGTGTCATTTTCTCAGGTATAAAACAGGAATATTAATATTTACTGTAAATATAGCTGCTCTAAGTTGCTCTGAGATTCATGATTGAGAAGAACTAGACATAGTAAGAGGTCTGCTGTAAAAAACGAATAACCTTTTGGCCTAAAAAATTTTCACTTTCTCCATAATGTTTATTTCCCTTGCAACTTGGTGGAAATAAATAATAACTGGACAGAAGAGTTCATAGCACATGAATCAAACTCTCTTTTTACAAGGAAGACACTGGATTTTGCTTTTAGAGTGGTGTGCTGCTGTTTGTAATGTCTTTGTGGGCACTGAAACAATAAAGAGTATCACAAGTTTAATCTATATCATCCCAGGGGACCTTATTTCAAATTCTGATGGGGGTCAATGGAGCAAAAAAGCCATCTGGGAAGAAAAATGCAACTTCTCAATATGGAAAGTTTAACGTAAAGTAAGCTCGGTCATTCTTACCAGATAGCACTTGGTATTAAGGCTTTATCCATAGCCCATCTGCATACATAATTAGCAGAAATAGTTATGAAAAAGCAGTATCTTCTACAAAGATCAAAGGTCTATGAAAAAATCCTCTTTTTCAAAAACGTGACATTTAAAAAAAAACCCCGAACGTTTAGCCATTACAGAGTACAGCATTCACTCAATCCCGCTGAAAAGAAAAACCTAAACTGTGGAATGAAACAAAACACAGTCGACTATCCGTAGTTTTCTTCACGTTAATTGTTTTCATGCAGGAATAGAAATAACAGTTGTTTGAAAAGAAGCAATTCTGTTTTTTCCAGAATCTGTTCTATTTTATTTGACAAGAAAAACTGTTTTGCTTTCTGTCTTACCTGAGGCAGAGTGCCTTTGACTAATGCAGGGATGTCTGCTTTGGAATAACCAATTGCAGCTAAGCCATCATCAACATTCAGATCAAATAGGAATTTCCGGAGTGTGTCTGCCAAAATAAGCCCCGCATCTTTGATTCTGGCAGTGCGGATGTCAGCTCCTAAAATAAGACATAATGCCTTGACTGTAGGGTGGAGAGAGCGGAGGAAGCCTGTTCTGGACTTAATTTAATCATAATATCAGCTGAATACATATCCATACACAGCAGTCACTGCCCTAAAAGCAACATGAAGTAAAAAGAGGAATCAGCCTTCATTTTACAGTTGGAATAGTTTGTGAAAGGTGAAATAAAACAAGATCAGAAGCAGGTAAATGATGCCAAAAAGACTAACTGCCACATGAGGTTAACTTCCTTTTCCTCTGTGCTTACAGGGAGAAGCACTTTTCAGACTGACTAACTGCTGGGAGGAAAGAAGCTAACGCATGAACGTCAGTGGTATTTATTTTTATGGACAGTGTGCCAAATGCTAACTTCATTTTAATGCCTTGAGTTTGCTGACATCTAGAGGACTCTTCTGCTCAATTACAGATTCACATACAGGACTAGAGCATGCAGGCTGAAAAAGGCAGGAGACGGCAGGCAAGTGTTCAGGGGGCTGAGTAAATCCTAAATTTAATTTGAGGATGCGCAGATTTGTGTAGGATGATGCAGAACTGAAGGGGAGGAACTGATATATTTGAAACAACTATGGAACAGTAATGAAAACATTGATATAAAAAGGAAGATTACTAATATTTCTCACAGAATAGCTTGCTTCCCCTTTTTCGATAAATGGTCAGGACTTACTTAAAAGTAATAACAAAAGCATGTCCAGACAAAAGACACAGGTTCCTCCATAAGATTTCTTTTTCAAAGTAACTCAAGCTAAACTGCTTCTCTGTGTAACCTCAATGATGTTACACCAGAACTATGTTAGGTCCAAGTGCCATACCGAGAGATGAGTAAGAGAACTAAATAGCTACAGGGAAAAAACACTTCCTGTGGTCCTCACGCAGTTCAGTGGAACATTCAAAGGGAGTTAAAGTGAACAGAAGACCTACAAGCTCATTTGAAGAGCTCAGATATTTGGGTAGTAGGACTGGCAGTGCTATAGCAGATAATGTCTGGGAGAAATTGATAAATAAGATATGACAGAATCTTGTACCAAGTCTTGTGCTATTAGGATTATGGCATGAAGTCTGAGTTTATCCTGGGTTTTGCTATGGAGGAGTAACTGAGACATAAATAAATAATAAATAAATAAATACACTATCTTCAGATAGTACAGTAAAAGGCAAAAGGAAGAGGATAAAACATGACAGTAAATGTGACTGGCAGTTTTAAAATATTGCTATAGTTCTAGGACTTTCTTTTTGCTCAACCTAAAGGACACATCAGTCTTTGATTGCACTTAAGAAAATTTCTGACTGCACACACACCTATTTCAACTATTTAAGAATCCACCCAGGGAGGTATTAAGATTTTTCTGGATCTACCCAAATTCACAGCTGTACCTACACATAACATAACTATTTAGTAATCTGCTTCATGTCATAAAATACCTTCTTAGTCACTGCACTTGGCAACATGACAGATTTGAATCAGCTACTGTAGTCAGTTAGACTCTGGACTGGAATCAGAAGTAAACACCCCAGATGGGAAGTAATAAATTCAATTCCCTGTGACACGTTTTCGGCAGAGTCCCTTTACAGCAAGGCACACAATGACATAGTTAAAATTTCTACTGACAAAATTAACAGAACTTCTAGAGACAGAATTTATAGCAGCAGTTAATACCACAAAACGTAAAGGAACTGCTTTTCAGCCACTTGTTTTAAAATCAAGAGCCAAATTCTCTGATATGCTGTGGTGACTAGTTATCCAAAAACATCTTCTTTGTCTAATTTCAGCTCTGTGATATTGCTGTAGGAACACAAATGTTTAGTAGTTTAGCATATGATTCCAACTAGGTTTGTGTTCTGGTTTGACCACAGGCAGGACTGCATATTTTAGAGGAAGCCTGAAGAGCTTCACAGACACCGTTTATGAAACAAATGGAATTTTCCCTGAATGTAGTTTTTCTGACCATGTTATTTTATGACCTCTTGAAAATACTGTGATATTTTCACTGTCTGTATAAAAGTCCCATTCTTTCTTGGGGATGTTTTCAGATTACTTATAGATATGGCTGGATTGCTGTGACTTGCATACAGAAGGCTGACCATACGAGGTACTGAACACAAATTTTCCAAATACAAGGACAGCTGGCCTAACCACTTTGCACTGCTGCCTGACTGTGACTGCTCCTTAGCCAGCATGGGTATTAGCAGCAGTTTAGTTACAACATAGAGCCTAGTGCAGACAAACACCTGATCTTAGACATAAATAAATTAGCTCACTGCAGAGCCATGCTGTCACAGCTAGACTGCTAACAGCTCTGAGATTACATCACTGGAAGCTGGTTTATTACACAGTCGTGCTGGGGGTGCAATTAAGAGGTATCCTTTCTCTAGGACACCTTTTTGTGATGGGTTGCACTGATAACAAAGTGCTGTATAAAAAGGTAACCTTTAAATGAGCTGTCAGCCTGCAGCATTTACTTTTATTCTGCTAAGAAGCAGAAAAGGTCATTTAGCTTGTTAATCCACTTCTTAGCCATCACATGTGTCCACAGGAGAGCTACTCCATGCTTTCCTTTGACATCAGCCACTGAGAAATTCCAACACCTACAAACAAGCTTAGGCATACATTACAAAGACCCAAACCCACAGTTGTGTGCCATGGAAAAAGAGCAGGAGTGATTCGAAACACCACCCTGTTCTAATTCATTGTCATAGCAGGGAATTTGTTAGGCAAAATTCTGTCTTTTAGCAAATGCACCTGAGCACTTGTTCATTTCATGGTAACTATTCTCCATAAAGCACCAAGATATATGCCAATTGCAGCCACTTTCCTTTGATTTGTAAGAGGTCTACAGTTAATTTCAGCTGTCCAGTTTTCTAGCCAAGAAGATGATTTCTCCAGCTTGCTCCTCTAACCACATCATTCAATATCAAAATTTAGTGTTATTTGAGCTAACTTTGCATTACACATTAACTCCAGAATCCTGATTTTTAAATTTAACGCCCTCACAACAACAAACAACAATTGCTTGCACGCATTTTTTTTTCCTCTCAAAAAAATATTTGGAAATTGGAATTTTTGGAAAGAATTCCATTTGTACAGGTAAGCTGTATCCATAGAGATTCCTACCTAGAATCTCTGCAGCTTCCAAGTGCCGCTCAGGATGTATCTGTGCTGTGAAAGCGAACACTGCTGGGGATGTCAGCACTACAGAAAGGCCATGTGGCTGGGGAAAAAAAAAAAAAGGACATGTACTTTTAACTTCAATATGCTTTAATACTCATTAATGACAGATAACAGACAACTGAAACGTACAATACAAAACCAAAGATAAACCAAGTTTTACCACTAAAGAGTGATCCACATTATAATCCTTTGGTTTATAAGTTTTCACCAAACCAGAAATAGGGTAAGACATTCCATGGCTGGAACAGAGAGCAGAGAGCAAGTGGTTAGGGCAGCACTCCTGGCATTTGGAAAATTTGCTTTCAGTCCCTTGTGTGGTCAGTTTTCGGTATGCAAGTCTCTTCAGCACAGATATTCAAAAGGTATTGACATACAGCTGTGGTGTGGATATCAGGTACAGACAAACCTCATCCCTCTGCACCTCAGGGATATAGCTGTAAAAAACAGTACCTCCTTACTTTGTGAGTGTGAAGTTATATTACTCCATTGACTGGACTGAAAGATGTTCAGTTCCTGAAATAATACAGATATGCCAAAAATACCATAATCTGCATCCCTACATGATCATACTGCCTAAGAAAAATAAACATTAATTTTAAGGTATAATTAAAAGAGTAGACTTGCTCAAAGAAAAGGAATGAAAGAAACATCTTTGAAAAGAATGACTGCTAAAAACTTCACACAATTCAATCTCTGAGATTTCCATCCAAATGAAACTATATTGCCTTACAATAATAATTACAGCTCATTTCAGCCTGCTGATTGCCTACCCTACAGACAAACTTACAGACAATTGCATCAGTTCAGGAAAAGCACAAGATTACATCATTCTGTCTCACTGCAGAAAAGCTGGCATGAAATCTAACATTTTAGATGTCATTGACTTTTTTTTTACTGTGGTCTTTACTATCAAGGAAGGTAAAGAAGGCCATGTTTTGTAATTTTTACATGATTGGATCTGAGTATCACAAGCTAGAATACACAATCCTCATACACATAAATGCCAAAAGCCTATTAATTTCTCACAACACACAGCTCCCTCAGCATCCACAGGCCAGGCTACAATCCCTTAATATACACTCAGCAACAAAGGCAGTGACATCTTTGACAATCTGAAGCAAACACTAGCTAGAAGTTGACCTCATATGGGGTTACTGCTTGTCTGTACTCACCAGAGATGGACACCAGCATTGCCAAAGCCAATACCAGCAAAAGCACTTGCCAGGTGCATGTTGGCTCTTGCTCCACGGTCTTCAGGGTTTCTGATGGCTCTGTGTACCAGCAAATTCACAAACAGATTGGTGATTCGGGAGGGAGAAGGGGAAGAGGGCTTCTTTATGGACAGATAGACAAAACCCTCTAAGATAAGCTGAGATAAAATGCTGGAAACAGGATCAAGCCACTGCAGTAAGAGAACAATCTTGCTTCTGGATCACTAAGTAGATTGCACTGATTCAGTGAAGGGCAAGCCTCTTTTCACTTTTCCAAAAACTGAGTAAATAAAGTGAATTTAACCAGATTAACCTCAATGGTGATTTAAACAACTCTACTTAGGAGCTTTGGCCATTCTGTGTACAGCTCAAGGATCACTCCACTCATTAGGTGGCAGTCTAGATCCCATCACCTGTTGTGGGAAAAAGACAAGGTTGCTTGCCTTTCTATGCCTCAGGCTCCTTGTGTACTTTGACAACAAGGAGAAAAAGTCTCGTGAATAGATTCTACATGAACAAGAAAAAACTATTTTGACTAGCTAGGTAAAAAGTCTTTTACAACAAAACTCCACAATGATCTTTAATAGAAGGGCACATGGTATACAAAAGCTGTATGCTGGCTAAAACTTTATTGGTAGGAATCAAAATTAGCATCCAATTAAGCCAATTCTTATTCTAAATTGAGGGTCTTCTAAGTATGAGCAGGTTTTCAATAAATGCATAATTCTGCACATTCGTAAGTGTATGTGGCTACCTTCTCGATGGATGTGTAAGTATCTTAATTTACTCTGATGGTCACAGAAGTTACATCAGCAGTATTTTGTTCAGTTTGTTACATATTCCCATTACACTGTTATAAAAAGTTGATTCTTGGAAAAATATGTAAATGATACTCCCATATTAACTGAGCAGCTTGAAATATCTTTAACAGGACTTCTAAAATAGATTCACAGAGGCATTAAAAAGCTACCTCCCTCAAGAAACCTATTAACCCCAATTTTACTTTCAATTTTATTTGAAAAAAAATTTTCCTTTATTTAAGAAAAACCCAGGGTAGAAAATGAAAGTTTAATGTTGCAGCTTGCCTTAATTTAGCCTAAAATTCAAGCTCTTCTAAGCATCCCTTTCAGGGCACTGAAGACAGAACATACTGCAAGGCAGATGGCTGTTAAATGTATTACCTTTTCAAATATTTAGCCACAATATGCAGAGCATGAAGAGCCCAGACATCACTGACAGGGTTGCTGCCTTGGTAAGCTGGTCGGTTGATCGGGTTTGAAGGGCAGGGACTGCGCATGTTGTAAGGAAGAGCGGTGTATGATTCTAGAGCATGGCTGACAGAAAGATTAAAAAATTAATTATTTAAGGGGGAGAACTCCATGTTACTGCCCTGCTGTCCCTTGAATGCAGGTTCTTATTTATTTCTGGTGTTTAACAGTTGCCAAAAACAAAAATACAATCTCATAGACAACTGGGAGAATGCCGGGCAGGCGCCTCCAGAGTGCTTCACTCTCCAACAAACACACAGACGGCAATCCAAACACAGTCATTATCTATCAGCTCACACCATGCTTAAAGCTAGGTTGGATGCATTGGCACCTTGGTGTGTAATGCTTTTCACTGAAGAACACTGTACATGTGCAATGGGTGCATTTTCTTTCTGTGGGACAAAGAACTGTAAGAAGCTTTAGCACAGGAAGCATCACTAAGGTACCTTTCTTTTAGAAGTATCGACCTTTAAAAAATTAGGGGTATGATGTTTAAGTTGGGTGGAACTGTCAACAGTTTAATCTCTGAGATTCTCATGAATCTGAGCACATAAAGAAGGGGCACTGGGTACATGGCTACATTCAGATGTTTAAAACTACAGATGTTTAAAACCATTTTCATTGGTGAACAAATGCCTTAATTCCACTACAGACATTGCAGTTCAGGGTACTTCACCAAGTTTGAGAAATCACTGTTTCATTACAGCTCTATTGCTTTAATATACACAGAATCCAGAAGCAAAGTGAGCTCTGGCTCTCCGAATAGAAATGTCAATGCATTTTGTGAAACTAAAAGCTGTAGGTTTAAGATGAAGAAAATTTTGTGCCAAGTGAAAAGCAAATTAAAGAGACGTTCCAAAGATGGCCATAATTGGGTGAAGACCTGCCAGCATCTCACAAGCCTTCACAAACTTTTATTGACACATCATGGCTTTTGTTAGAAAATCCTTGTTCTCTATTCCCTGTCATGTCTATGAGACATGATAAATGCTGTCACAATTCTGATTAATAATCTCTATGATCTCTTAAAAAAAGACACCTGGACCCTCTTCTCTGACAACAACCATCCTGGAAGCAAATTTCTGCAAATGAGTGATTTGGTTCCATACATTCTGAGGGAGGCAGTGAAACTAACTAAGAGGAAAGTATAACAGAGCTCACCTTAACGAGAAGAGCAAAAGGAGAAAAAAGATCATCCTTTTCTGCTCCCAAAATATATTTTTTTCTACAATCATCATAGTAAAAATACAAAAATGTAATAAGTTCAGGTAGCAGCCTACACAGAAAACTCACCAAAGCACATCAAAGCCACTGTTGGCCACTATTCGTTCAGGCATAGACAGTGTGTGCAAAGGATCAATGATGCCTAATGTTGGCTTAATGGCTCTTGAAGCAATGCCTGCAATATGTAAAGTGAGGAAAATGGGTTAAAGATTTTTTGCAACAAAATAGGACAAGCTTAATGTTCAAAACATCACAATAGGGAGGGGAACTTATTTGAAACTATGAACGTAAAAGGGAAGAGAGAGAAGAGAGAGCAAGGAGTATCTATAAATGTAGATCATAGGTATCTTACTGACGATGAAGTCCCTGTAGCAGGCTTATATGATTTGAGACTTTTGCCTGAAGTGGCAATAGCATTCTTTCTCTGTTTGCAACACTCCCTGAGCAGCCTATACTTGCAAAATGTCTGTGCTGCATGGTATCTGCAGTATTCTTAAATTTGTATCTCCTGTGAACAGTCAGAGGGCAAAACTGGTTTGGGCCTACAATTGCTGTCTTGAGCACCTGTAATAACCATGCCCTCGTGTTTTGGTTATGGAGGCACAGATGTAGCTTTGAGGGAGAGACAGACAGACACAGACTGATTGACTACTTATAGACTAGAAAACTCTTGAGCTATTATCAGAACACCTTAGCACACCCATTTGGGTCCCAAGTGCTGCAGACTGCATGGCATATAAAATCCACATGTTTAGAAGTAAAACCTCAAAACAGCTATGAAGCTCAAGATGACATTTTAGCCTTAATCTTTATTTGCCAGGGATGAAAAGGCCAAGGGAAGACTGTCCCTCACTTGCACAGCATCCCAGGCCTGAGGTTTCAAAAGTCAGGAAAAGGAACATTTGGTTGCAATTACACAACAAAGAAACAGAAGTCTTAAAAGCAGAAAGAAAAATACAGAGGAAATAAGGAACAGTTGGTTGACCCTGAATATAAGTAGAAATTTCCTTTGCAATTAACATTTTCTGCCATTTAAGGACTTGAAAGATTTTAGTTTCCTGTTTTGCCTTCAAACTATAATCCAATGTATTACATAGGCATTTCATTATGTTAATACGCTATGAATTTAATTCAAGGAGGAAACCATTAAGCTCTTCAAATTTGCCTGTGGCAGTTGACTCAAACAAAATGACACCTGAAATGAAATGCAGTATCCCTTCCTTTCACAGCAGGGAAATAACAAAGACATTGGAAAAGCAGTTGTCTTGCATAGCATACAAAAAAAACCCACAAAAAACCCAAACAAAACAGCAAAACCTCACCAGTTTTAACTTTTAGTTCTTTGAAGTCAAAAATGGCAACACCAGTGGTTTCACTTCCAGTGCCAGATGTTGTAGGAACTTAAAAGGAAGAATGGGCATAACAACAAATAAATAATATAAAATATTGCAAAATAAGTAAATAAAACCACAATAGTAACACCACCAAAAACACAGGAACCAGGAAATCTTGGAGGAATCCCTGATCCAAAGCCAACAGGTCAAAGAGAAACTGTTACTTTGATCTCTTTTCTCAGTAAAAGCAATCTAATTGAGCTAAACAAGACAAACTGATTACAAAAGCTCTGATTTTTACACTGAAGTAAATAGTAAAATTGCTGCTGAATACAACTAGAGGAGAAGTAAGCCCAGAGGAAGCTGAAACAGTCATGGTAAACTGATTTCAATAGAAATATCACAGAGAGTGTAGAATAACTCCCTTACCCCCAAGCCCTCACTCTCCACATACATCCCTCCTGCTTTACCTGCTATCAGTGGCTTGAGGGGAACAGTGACAGGCTTCCCTTTCCCAATAGGAGCATTGACATAATCCAAGAATTCTGAAGTAGGGCTGGCTGCGTACAGGTTGGCAGCTTTACAGGTGTCTATCACAGACCCACCTCCAACAGCAACATAGGCATCAAACTCTCCCTTTTTGGCAAATCTAATGGCATCCAGGAAACTTGGAAAACAAGAAAGGATTTCCAATTAGTCAGGATTAAACCAGTACACAGGGAAACTAATTATTAAGACCAGTATGCAGGTCATAAGGTGTTTAAACAGCCACAGGGAATGCCGGAAAGGCCTAGGCACTACTTGGAGAAGTGCACTGTCAGACGTGAGTAGTACCTTTGGTCTGTTGGCTCCACCCGGACATTATCATATATCTGAAAGTTTATACCATATTTTGCCAAGGAATTCAATACTGCATTTACAGGAGGGAGTTTGGAGAGGTTTTTATCTGTCATCAAACAAACTCTTCTAGCACCAAGATTCTGCAGGTCCTACAATAACAATGACATTAAAAACCAAATGACTAGTAAAAATCATACACTGAACAATTTAAAAACTGATCCAAATCAACGGATCAATTAATAATAAAAAAAACCCCAACCTAAAAATAGTTGGTTATTGTAAAATTTTTAAAACCATATCAGCCAAAGAAAAAGAGCATTAACCACACACATATAGGACGCAGAAAGCAGCATAAAATTTAAAGCTGCCAAACCGATATAGTTGAAGTCTTACAACAGAAGAAAACTAAAGTTGTTGAACCACATGGTTAAGACTAGAGTAAAATGTAAATTTTTTTTAAAAAAATATTTTTCCTACACAATTCCTGTGACAATAAAAAGGTTTTTTCACAGGTTGTCTCCCCTAGATACCTACCAAAGCACAGGATCAAAATCTTGCAAATTTGATATTGAATATTAATTTATTGATTAAAAATCAAAATAAGGTGGCAAAAGAGAGAAAATACATCCTAACCTTTGCTAAATTAATTGTCACAAGCGCTACATGATACATGCAATTCTAAATAATTCTAATACTGTTTAAAGACAGAGGTTCTGTCTAATTTCATTTACTGACTGTTATCTTGCTTTACAAATTTGCAAATAAAAAAGAGAATTGTTAATGCCAGAAATGCCAAGAAAGGAGGAAAAAATGATAAACAAAAAAAGCCAAAGATAACAGCAAACTGGAACAATGTATTCAGGTGAATCATCTCACATCGCTGAAACAAAAATTCTTCATTTTCACAGTGCAAACTCAGAGCTGAATGAGAATCTAGCCAATTTAATGGAAAGTCTCTAATTCATTTTAAGGAGCAGTAGAAGAGACAAAAATGATCTTGAGAAAATCCTGGTGAGTCACCAGGATTCAAAACTTTCTGAATTAAATTCCCTGTCAGTGAAAAGTATTGTTGCATAATCCTAGCAAATCATCAATTATCTAATTATCCCCAAGCTGCATTTCATGTTCTCAGTTATACCATAGAAACATCGATGCAACATGCTTCTGTTCTGTACCCAATAGTATTTTCCAGCCTTTTTACACTGGTATATATGACAACACATACTGCAAATCAGTGGAGATTCAGACATGCCATAAATAAATTTTCCTTCATAAAACAGATTGATAGCACCATCAGACCTTTAGAAAGTAACTTTTCACCAGAGATGGACTTAGACCATAGCAGCTTACCATGCCAATCTCTTTTGTAACTCCTTCTCCGTATCGGATGTTTGAAATGGCCATCTACAAAAAAAAAGAGAACAAACCAAAACCAAACAACCTTTTTTTCCTGGAAAAATGGATAAATGGCATCTACTACCACACAGACAAAGTGAAATATAAATATTTAATAATGCAACTATTTGTTAAATGCCATGTTTAGCAATTAAGTGTTTTGTATACTACTTTAAAATCAAATACATTTGATTATTAAACCTACCTCAAATGCATAGTCTGTATTTCCCAGGGTATGCCGCTCAGGGACTGGAATGGAAATGAAACAGTAAAATTAGGGAACAAAAAGTTATTGCAATCTGTTTCTCAGCACTAGAGTTGACAGACTTCCTTGCTTTTAGAATCACTAATATATTTGCACAGGTCATCTCAGCTTGTCTGGATAACAGTTACCCATTTCATCCCTTATTGCTTGTGAGATTATCTAAGTACTTAATTTGATTAATGTAGTTCAGCAAAACCAGTATTTTTTCCCCTTCTTTCAAGAATTATTTCCTATAAAAACTGAACAAGTTAGCAGGAAGTCTGTATGAGAATGTTTGCAGTCTGCAAAGACCAGAAAAGCACGATAAGTAGAACTGAGTGCTGGTACAAGCTGGTACAAGCTGATAGGTGCTAGAAATGTGTAGGGGCTACATGATAACCTTCAGAACAACTTTTAAGACAAATCCATGAGACATCCTCCATGTACACCTGAACAGAGAAAATCTTTTGTATGTGTAGGAGCAATACTAACAGGTGTTTACACTTCTCTTTACTTCTGCCTAGTCCTGAACTAGCAGGTGAAACTGAATTGTTTGCTAGAAAACTAAGAAACTGCATGCATTTCTAATAATAAATAAGAATCGGTGCGTTACTCTCAACCTTACTTAGAAGAAAAGATATTTATAAGGACAGTCCTTCAGTCACAGCCTCTCTCTGTCATGTTGTTCTTGCATGAATCATCACAAAACTCAATTTCTGGCATATCCTGATTTTGCCACAAAGTGAAACAAACTTCATCAACTGACACTGCCCATTCTTCTCCAAGAAAAGATCAGATGAGGCATTCTGCTCTTCCTGCTGAAGTCATGCCTTACATGTGCTATATTAATTGAAAATATGTAATTTGGGTTCAGATCCAATGAGTGAAGCCATGATAATGAGTCACAGACACTCTGGGGTGCACTGGAGCACTGACCCACAACAGTAACACATAGATGTATTAAAATCCTTTATGCATTTTCTATTGAAGCCCAGGCCAGCTGCTATCAGCTCTTTTCATTGCCACCTCTTGCCAGGCTGGACACGTTTGACCTCTCCTGGAGCTTGAGTCTGCTGTACTTTCAGTCATTAATTTGACAGGCTAAGAACATGTCCAAAACATTTACTCTCTTGTTTTCTGATAGTATAATAGATGTCCTTTTGTTATATTCTTGAGCCAAACTTAACTTTCAGGAAATTTTACCGAGTTTGAAAATTGCACTATTTCCTTGAACACTACCAAGAAACATAAAGAACTTTTATTTTTCCTCTACAGTCACTGTTAAATCAATTCTGACTATTTAGAGACTTACTGAACTGATATCATCTTGCTACACTACAGACTCGATGCTTAAAACTTACAGAGAGTGTGCTTAACTAAGACTTCTGTTTAGGAAGAGTTTAATTTGAATTGACCGAGTAGATCATCAAGCAGACAAGCAGAAGAATGAGATTCTGTTTCTCAGCTGTGCTATTGTCTTGCTGTATGATGGCCTTGGACAAAACAAGTATCTGAACACAGATATGGCTTTTCCATATGTGAAATGGCAATGGCAATTTTTTAAAAAGTGTCTTCAGCAAAGCATGTGAAACCAAGTTGCTCAGAATTACCCATTACAGAAATTATGGCCCAAAAATACTGATTTTTAGTGGATCTGGAGACCAATCAGCTATCTGGAGACTGACACAAATAGTTATTCTCACAGCCCCCCTATGCTCCATGCACACAGAAACTCCTCCAGGGTGGCTTGGTTACTCAGCACAGGCCTCCTGCTCTGACTCCAGAACCCTGGCCTGAGCTGCGTACAAAAAGCCTATGGAGATTTTATTCTCCACCTTTGTGAATAGCTACTTTTTATCCATAATGCTTCATGTTTCCTTTCTAATGTAACAGGTGTGTATCCAAAAGCAGATCTAAAGTGGAGATGGTTCAGGTGGTGACAGCAGTAGTAGCAGCCAGAGCAAATGCCTGATCAACTTGCCTCACGGTGTGGGGAGGGAAGGGACAGGAGGCAGTAATTGCGGTTCATGTGGGAACAGTGAATCTCTCCAACAATAACCAGTATCCCTGTACAGCCGCAAAATACAGACTGCTTACCTTAACCTTTAAGCTGCTCTCCTTCTCACCTGTTACCTACACCTCTGCCTTGGTTACACTGATACATATGGTTCTGCAGGGTCACGGTCTCCTACAGGATTTTACTCTGGAGACACAAATTAAGTCTTACCTTGGGAATAAGTGTGGCCATGGCTCGGGCACCGACATCTAGTTAAAATGTTTAAAAAAAAAAAAAAGTATGGTTAAAAGGGGAAACTAAAGCAGACAAACGAATCTGTCCTTCCCTAAAAGTATCCTGCCAGCACCCATTCCAAGGGCCTCCAGCGGTGTGCGGTGGGAGGGGGGACGGAGCGGCCGCTGCTTTTCACTCTCCACACGCGGCTCCCGCCCGGCCCCGGCCCCCGGCAGTGCCGGCCCCGGGGAGAAAACCCTCGGCCCTCGGCGCCCCGTCCCACCGCACTCACGCTGCCCGCTCCAGCTGCCGCAGCAGGCGAGCGACCCGCGCCCGCCCCGCCGCCATCGCGCATTTGCGGCCGGACGGGGATCGGGATTGGGACGGGGACGGGCCAGCGGCAGCGCCTCCTCCCGGGTCAGGCGCCGCCGCTTCCCGGCCCCGCACCAGCCGCACGGGTGAAAAAAGAACTGTCCGCATTCAGTCCCTCCCCAGTTAATGCCCCTGCGGTCAATGCAGGCACCGAACTGCAAAACCCAACCCGCGCCTGTTTCAAGGCAAGCAAAGCCTGATTGCTAAAACACACAACACAGAGTGCCCACGAAGAGCTACTGAAGTACAGCTAGGGCTGAGCGCGGGTCATAGTACTTGTCACGGAAAAATACTGAAAGTAGTCCGATTGCAGAGTGAAAATAATAAAAAAGCCACGGTCCTGAGCATAGGGCAATTTAAAATTAGCTTAAACACTTTTCAGACTTTTTTAGTGGTGCCCAGTGACAGGATGAGGAGCAATGGCCATAAACTAAAACACAAGTTCCACCACAACACAAGGAAGAACTTCTTTCCATTGAGGGTGGCAGAGCACTGGAATAGGCTGCCCAGGGAGGTGGTGGAGTCTCCCTCTCTGGAGACATTCTCCTGGACGTGTTCCTGTGTAACTCGCTGGAGGTGACCCTGCCTTGGCAGGAGAGTTGGACTAGATGATCTCCAGAGGTCCCTTCCAACCCTAAGAATTCCATGATTCTGTGAAATTACATGGAAACTACAGTGCAGGATGGATCAAAATTGTGTAACCACATTCTTAAGATTCTCTAAGCTATGCTGATTAGCTGACAGAAAAGTATATCAGTATTAAGCAAATGTAATATTGGATTCTGGCAAAGAAAGCACCATTTTTCTGTTGTAGCAGGTATTTTGCCTTCGCATACTGCTGCGTTTTATTTATTAGAGAGTTGCAAAAAAGGTTAATGCATCAAAAAAGGAATTTATTTGCAATACACTTTAAAGGCAGGCAGCTGGTGTTCTCTGGGTCTCCAGGAAAGAAAAAGTACTTCAGATACTGAAGATACTGAAAATTTCCATTTTGTGGACATGCAAGTATCTGGTGTTTCTGCCCATGGCAGAGGGGTTGGAACTAGCTTTAAGGTCCCTTCTAACTCAAATGATTCTGTGATTCTATGAACAGATCAGTTGAGCTTAAAAAGGACGATTTCGCAAGGTGCTGAGTTCAGAAGAGCATATTAATGGCCTGACCAGGCAATATACATGAAGCTGTGAAACCATCCATTTGTGAGAACCAGAAACTGTCAGCACCCCAGAGGCACCTGTACCTCTGCTCAGGTTACTTCATCACTGCTGGAAATGCACAAACTGCCAAGGATTTTGGTGGAGAAAGTTTACCAATAACCTCATCGTCAGCACAGAATACTTACGAGGTGTGTGTATGCGTTGTGAAAGACCTAATCTCTCTGGCCGAGCAGGTAAAAGACATGCCCTATGGCAATGCCTGGAAGTTCAAAGGTCTGGAACGTATCTCCAAACAACCTTTTCCACTTGTTCAAGAGTTTTTTACCCCTGCTTTGTCTTGATACTCACACTGAAGGCTTCATAACAGAGGGTTGTGTCCACAAAACCATTCCTGACACCAGCAAGACTGAAGCAGCCTGCAGCAGTGCAGACTGCTCAGCACAGGGACAAGAAACATTCAAGAGGCAAACAACACATGGTTGAGTGCTACTCAGTCCATCAATGCCATCCAAGCCCCAAGGCGTACACACCCCTTCTGCCCTCGGCAGCTGCCTTACACAGAGGTTTTGCTTTAGGATGCTTTTTACTGAAGCTGCCATCCGAAGTGAACTGCTACAGAATAGGACAAGAGAATTGCTATAGTCACCCAGCTTTTTCAAAAACTCATTTGCAGTGAGGCATTATATAATATCACTAACAATTCACAAACGTGAAAGTTTGAAAACCTAACTTAAGAGAGATTGCTGAAACTTGTTTTACTAACTTTCTTACCAGGAAACAGCATCTTTCCTGTAGTTAAGCCACACACTGGTGGCTTATTTTATTTTTCTACATGTTACCAACAAAGTTCAAAAGAATAATGTGCAGAAGTCTAAGATCATTTCCACTATCAGCCCTCAAACTGCTTAGTGAAGAAAAACATTGTAAAACTATTTCTATGAAATGATGGATTAGTAACACTGTGGGGAAAAATTGGGGTTTCAACTTGCTGTTCAGTGCAAACATTTTTCTGTTGAATTCAGTGGCTGGTTTTGACTTCCTTTTCTCATCAACACATTGCTCTAGAAAATCTGTATGATTTCTTAGGCCCTGCAATAAATCTTACAGTAAGTTTTCACCTCTTTGGTAACACAGCCTGCGTACCAGGGCTGAGCAGCAGAAGTTGACTTAATAGAGCAAGAGCTCCACCGTCAGGCCACTTGCCCACAGCAGAAAACAGCAGCCACATCCTCTTAACTTTATCCGTGGCTGTTACTCCATCAAAACACAGGTCACAGCTGCGGTCCATCCCCAGTCCCAGCTACCCGAACATGGGACAGCTTTGCCCAGCCTCGGTCCTGCCTGGAGATGCTGAAGCAACACGTGACACATGTCAGTGTGAAACCCCCAGTCTAGGGGAAACCAGGACTCCCAACCCCCTTGATACATCACCAATTTCCCTTGGATGGAGTACACAGCCTTCCCTGACCACCAGCTAAGATCCAAAAGCAGGACATTTTAGAAAGGCCAGAGCATATTTATTGACAAGTATGTGTGTGAACAGAGCACGGGATGGAAGGCTGCAAGCGACAGTCCCTTTCCACGCCTTAGAGGGCATCCCCAGCCCGTGCTGCACATTGTCCCTCATGCCTTCTTCCTCCTGCCACCGCCGGTGCCACTGCCCGCGGGCTTCTGCTGCTGCTGCTGCCGCCGGGCTCCGCTCTTCTTGCCGCTGCGGCCCGGCCGCTGCTGCCGGCGGCCGCGCTTGCCCCGCTGCGACTGCTTCTTGCCCTTGTGGGTGGCGGCCGCCTCGGCCTCCTCTTGGCGCATCTGCTTGTTGACAGCGCGGGTGATGTCCAGGACCGGCTTCTTGCTGCCCATGTCCCGCAGCAGCTCCAGCTGCCGGCTGCGCTCGGCCGCCAGGTTGCCCAGGAGCGGCTCGAAGCGGCGCTTTCTGCCGCCGCTGCGGGAGGGCGGCTCCGCTGGCTCCTTCGGCAGCCGCGGCTGGAAGCGGCCGAGTGAGGCGGTGGAGACGCGGGCGACGCGGGCGACCCGGCGCAGCTCCTCGCGGTCCTGGTGGCCGGTGGGGTGCAGGGGCGCGGCGGGCACGGCGCTCCCGGCGCGGTGGGCCCGGGCCAGGTTGCGCAGCCGGTTCAGCTCGTTGCGCGCCACCCGCTCCCGCTTCTCCCGCCGCAGCCGCGCGAACTGGTCCTCCTCGGGGTCGGCGCCCGCCGGCACCTCCGCCAGCCACGCTCGGGCCGGGTCTCCGCCCGCTCGCCGGTAGCCCCAGCGCCGCCGCCACTCCTTGGCCTGCTCGTCCCACACCAGCGAGGTTTTCTTGCGGCGGCGGATGCCCTTCAGCCGCGCGAACTGCTCCCAGCGCGTCGGCGGCCGCGGCCGCGGCGGCGGCTTCTCCCGCGGCAGGCGGAAGGTGGGCTCGGGCAGCCGCGCCACCAGCGGCCCCCCGGCACCGCCGGCGCGCTCGGTCGGCAGCTCCCAGAGCCGGGACACCAGCAGCTGCGTGTTGTCGCGGGCCAGCGCCCGCAGCAGCGCCTCCCGCCGCGGGCCGGCCCCGCGCAGCGCCGCCGCCGCTGGAGGGGGGTTGCGGTCCAGCGCCAGCAAGTTACCCAAGTCGAACTCCAGCTCCAGCTCCTTCTCCACCGTGATGCTCCGCCGCTTCTCCGCCTCCTGCTCCTCGGCGGCCGCCAGCACCGCCTCGACCCGCACGGCCGCCATGTCGGCGGCGGCACCACGTGCGAGCGGCCCCGCCGGTGCCCCGGAGTGCGGGGAAGCTCCTCCGGGTCAGAGCGCCGGAACAGCCGTGCCCGGAACAGCCCCGCCCGTAGGGGAGGGATCGGCGCAATGCCCGCCTGGAGATGTAGTCCTGAGGTAGCCGCGAGTCCCCACAGACCGTCCCGGGGTCTGCGCCCGCCGCTGCCCTGTCACCGCACCTTGGCGTCCCTGGGTTACGGGCAGGCGCTTCCTATCCCAGAATCGACTAGGCTGGAAAAGACCCCTGCGATCATCGAGTCCAACCTATGATTGAACAACACCACCATGCTGCTAGACTATGGCACAAAGTGCCACATCCAGTCTTTCCTTAAACACCGCTAGAAACGGTGACTCCACCACCTCCCTGTACACTTCATTCCAATGATTAATTGCCCTTTCTGTGAAGAAATTCCTCCTAATGTTCAACCAGAACCTCCCCTGACAGTTTAAGCCTCTATCCTCTTGTCCTGTCACTTGTGTGGTAGAAGAGGCTAATCCCCACCTGGCTACAACCTCCTTTCATGTAGTTGTAGGGAGCGATAAGGTCACCCCTGAGCCTCCTCCAGGCTGACAACCCCAGCTCCCTCAGCTGCTCCTTGGAGAACTTACCCTCTAGATCCTTCACTGATGGTGTCACCAACGATACTCATGAATCCCCAGTTACACCCAGGCTGGGGCTGTGTGGGGGCTGTGGTGGCCCCAAACCCATCTCTCGCTGCCACCGCGAGTGGTGCTGAGGTGGAAAATGTGTGGGAAGAGACTGCAGGTGAGGGGAGACAATGCCAAAAGCATAGAGCTGGGACCATCAGAGAACCAACAGGGCCCTGCAGCCAGCTTCCCCTACCTCTGCCTGCACTTGGGGGTGTGCCATGACATCCAAACACTGAACAGGTCAGGGACTGCGACACAGGAATGTACTTTACCTGTGGTTTTTGGTTGTGTTTTTTTTCTTTCTTTCTTCCCCTCTTTTGCATATGATTATGTCTGACACTCCTTGCTGTAAAGCAGTGCCTGTAACTGCTCCTTGCAGGACCAAAATTCTAGTATTTTATTGCAGGATCCCAGAGACTGACACAGAGGTGTTCTCACCCTACAGAGAAGGGAGGGGAGGAATTTGGGAAGCAGTATCACCTGGCAGATGTCTCATCAGGCATAATTTCAAGTGAGGTGATCGGGTGATATGGTGTGCACCCAAAGGTCAGCTGAGTCAAAGATACCTCTGTGCTATTTTTAAACAAATGTGGTATGGAAGAATCCTTTTATAGCTATACAGTGATTTGGCTTGTATGGCTATGACATTTTGAACTGATCCCTGGTGCCCGAAAAACAAGTTCATGGTAGCACTTAACTTCATGGTAGCTGAGGGAAGTGATGGGAGTTTTTATATGAGGTACAGTTCTCTACTAAGTTATATCACATCTTTCCTTCATGTTAGTTTTGGAGTGATGGAAATGATTCTGAGTGTAATGCCACAGCAGTATTGTTGAAATGAAAAGAAAACGTAAGATGAAGACAAATAGCTGATTCTCAAATTCTAATGGCTAGCATATAAAAACTTACCCTTTTTACTCTAACTATGATAATTTTCTTTTTTCCCCCAAGTCAGCAGTTTTGAGCATGATTTGTATACTATGGAGCAGCAGAGTCCCTATGTATTTAAATCCAAGCCGGATGGCACAGACTATTTTCTCATTTACCACAAGATGGCATTGGACAATATTTTGTTCCCTAATTTGGACAACTCATACTTTCACCTGGAATCACAGATAAAATTAATTTTAAAGGCAGTTCTTTGAAGAGATGCATAGGCACTATCTATATTCAGGCATAAATTTAAACTTTTGAACTGCAAGGTGCACTATTTCAGCAGTCTGGTTAATACCTTTACGCTGATCCATGTACCCTCCTGTTTTATCCTTCTGCAGCTAACATCTTGGAGTTCTTTTGGTCTATATTTATACAAAGCCCAGGATGCTTCAGGTAAATGCCTGGGACTGAGGGGACATAAACTGCACTTCCTAAGTTGGTTGAAGTGTTAATGATTATCACTGGAATAGCAGAAGGAGTGCATGACCTTCTTGTTTTACCTGAAAACATGTAGAAGAATCTCAGAAGGTAAAAGCTACTTTCTGGAAACTGTTCTGTAGAACTGAATTTCAGCCTTTTTGTGCCTTCCAGAAATCTGCGCCTCAGAGCCAGAACGTGCTTTTGGCGTTTGCAGTTTGTGGTTTCATGGTGTGGTTGGGAAGGTGGTAGCTGGAAGAATATTTGAATGGATTTGTAAACCAAGATTTGTGAATAGTCATAGATATTTTGGGAAACTGTCCCATTCTGAGAAGGGACTTCTGAGATGCTCTGTATAGTGATCATAGCCATGCTTTGAGCTTGTACTCCCAGTTTAGAGCTGGGAATTACAAGCAGGCATACTGCTTATGTTAAGGGAGTAGGTGTGTGTGTACTGCCGCAAATTTTGGCTTTTCAAAAGATGAAATGGTGATACCAGTATTGAAATGGCTTTTAGGAAATGAATGCTCTCATTATCTCATGTTTG